GACATGGAGACAGCTGTGTACATATAAAGTTAAATTGGAAGTAATCTCAGAGGAAAGGCATTCTGTTTGTACTTACGTTGCTGTTAATGTGACCTTTCCTTTCTTTTGCATTGTGTCTAAGCATCTTGAGGGAAAAAACCACATTTGTGCCCTGTTAGCCCACTGGCACCACTCTAGTTAAGACTTTTATCTCCTTGGGCCTGTGTTGACTAGAACTGCCTTTAGACTTGACTTCTTGCAGTGTCATCTTGTGCACCACCAGTAGATTAACCTTAAAAATCTTAAATCGTTCCCCAGTCAATACCCTTCAGCCCATTTCACCATTCATTTTACTTACCCAGAGAAGTCATGGAAAAGAGGTAGTGGAGTGGTGAATTCAGGACCATTACAGACAGAGTGACATGTGACTCTGCTGACCTCTACCTGGGTGACCTTAAGCAGATCACTTAACTGAGTTTCCTTATCTGTAAAACATTGGAGTCCAACTGCTTTGTATCAGAAGTTCTTGTACTCCTAAAACCGATCATCTTAAATCTAAACAACTTTAGCCTTGCATTCAGAGTTCTCTATAATTTAGTCCCAATGTGCATGAGCCCTCTACTTAGCCAGGGTAGACTACACTAATTTCCCCAAATAAGAAGTATATATACCTCTATATTTTCACATATGCCTTTTAAAAAGTTAACGAAGGAGGTTTACTTGACTATAGCATTAAAAAAAAATGAGGGATTTCACACTTAGCATGAGTAGAGATGGCCTCTCCCTTATCTCAATATAAAATGCGTCTGGTCTACAGGGCAATGAGTGGTGCCTTGATTGGGAGATAAGATTCTTCCCATATCTAAAAGGTCCTGATTCCAAGTGAATGGACTGTTTTATGCCTTTAGGTGAACAGGAAGTAATGATCAGAATCTGTCAGGAAGCTGTGGTGAGGGAAACCCAGCTTGAGTCTGAAACCTCTGGGCCAATCAAGTTTTGAAGTCGGCTTTAGCGTCTTTGAGCCCCAGTTACAGAGGAAGGGGAAAACTCTGAATGTTAGTGGTCCTATTATATACCACCTCACTGTGGCAAAATCCTAAGGTTCTTCTTGAGGACCTTCCAGTATTTGAGTGATTTTAGAACTTTCCCTGGATAATCTTCCTGGCATAGGCAGTTACTAAGGGGACAAAAGGGGGAAAAAAAGAAAGATTTTATTTAAGAAGCAAAAATGAAGCAGACATAGAACAATGTTAACAGCAAATTGTAACAGCCATCCCAAAGTTGTTACCATAAAGAAAAAAGAAAGCCAAATATGGAGACCAAAAGCCAAAAATCCCAGCTTTATCCATCCCCCCCCCCCTTGAAAGGATTGAGTTTCAGATCTCAGTGATTATCTTGATGTTGTGTGTGGTAGGTGGTGCCAGATCTTTGTAGTTCACTGTGGATTTCCTAATACAAGAGAGCAATGATAAGGTAGAACAGCACAGAGGATGACAACTCCAGCATTGCCAGTAATACTTCATCACACATCAGCATCCTCTTTTTGTGTTCCTCTTGATTCTTGTATTCGTGTTTCACGATTTCTGCACAGCTTTGGTCTTTCATTGGGAGTGATTGAAAGTCCTCTATTTCATTAAAAGTCCATTTTTCCCTGGTAGGATTGTACTTAGTTTTGCTGGGTATATTATTCCTCGTTACAAGCCTATGTTGTTTGCCTTGGGGATTATTGTATTCTAAGTTACCCACTTCTTTAGAGGCATGGCTTCTACATCTTCTGTGATCCTAAACTGTGGCTCATCAGTACTTGAATTCTTTTTTGCTGGCTGCTTGTAGTATTTTTTCTTTGATCTGGAAGCTCTGGCTTTTGGCTATAATATTCCTAGGGCATTTTTAGCTTTGAATTTCTTTGGGGGAGGAGAGTGACTAGTGGATTCTTTACATTTTCACTGTGCCCTCTGGTTCTAAGGATCTGGGCTCTTTACTTTCATGATGTCTTGAAATATGAAATCTAGGCTCTTTTTTTGTTCATGGTTTTCACATAATCCAATGATACTTATATCATCTTTTCTCAGTCTGTATTTCAGCTCATTTATTTTTGATGTTAGAAACTTTGCACTTCTGTTTTTTCTAATCTCTTTTTTTCTTTTTAATTTCTTCTTAAATTCTGCTTGGTCCATTCTAATTTTCAAAGAATTTGTTTCTTTAGTAAAGGTTTTGTTACTTGGGATGAGCTATTAATTTTATTTCTAATTCTTTTTTCTATAACTCTAGTTTCTTTTCTAATTGTTTCCTTTTGCCCTCTCATTTCATTTATGAAATAATTTTAGCTTTTTTTTTTTATAAGTCTTGCTTCATCTCTCCCAGGAATTCTTATTGATTTGTGCCCAAGCTATATTTTTCTTAGAGACTTTGCAGCTAGGAGTTTTAAAGTTATCTTCTGGATTTGTGTTTCGGATATCCAGGTCACCATAATAGCTTCTTGTGATGGAATTCTTGTTTTTTCATTCTTCTGGCCTTACTTCCTCTTTGGACTTTGTAGTAGGACCAGGCTCTGCATACTTTTAGATGGAATGGCTGTGTGGGCTTCATCCTGTTTTGGTTCTTTCCTCTTGAGACTTACTGTTTTTTCAGGATACTAAGTGTTGTATCATTTCAGGATCTCAGGTACAGTAGGAATGGACCATACTGTATGAAGGGAATTCAAAATTTTGAAATATAGTAAGGGACCAAGCAAAGTAAGTAATTTATGTTTGATTTTCGAGGTAGAGAGCTGCTGGAGGTTATTGAGTAGAGAGCAGACCTGTGCTTTAGGAAAATCACTTTGACAGCAATGTGAAACATATTTTAGAGTAGAGAGAGACTTGAGCTAGAGTCCAATTAGAAGGTTGTTGCAATAGTCTAGGCAACAGTTAATTCCCCACCTGAGTGGGGAAGTAGCTGTATGAGTAGAGAGAAGGGGATATTTGCGTAAGATGTAAAGAAAGAAAATCCAAATCTAGCCATTGATTAGATTTGTGAAATGAGCTTACAGAGGAGTCAAGAATGATAATGAGGTTGGACACTTGGATTACTGGAAGGATGATGGTGCCCTTGACAATAATAGGGAAATTTGAGAGAAGGGTAAGTTTAGAGAAAAAGATGATGAATTCTGTTTTGGACATGTTACATTTAAGATGCCTATGGGACATCCATCTCAAGATGTTCATAAAGCATAGGGTGATGTAGAAGTAGGGCTCAAGAGAGACACTAGAGCAGAATATACATACAGCTCTAGCTGTCATTGCATTGAGATGATAATTGTACCCTTGAAAACTGCTGAAATCACTATTGAAGAGAATAGAGAGGAAAAAAGAGAGGAGAGCCCAGGACAGAACCTTTTGGGAACCCATAGTAGTGAATGTAACATAGTTGAAGAATCAGCAAAAGAAAATGTGGAACAGTCAAACGGGTAGGAGAACCAGTAGAAAGAATAGTCATGAAAATCCAGAGAGCAGACAATATTGCAGAGGAGGTGGTCAGCATTGACACATATTGCCAGGAGATCAAGAAGAATAAGAATTGAGAACAGGCCATTAGATTTGGCAATTAAGAGATCACTGGTCACTTTGGAGAGAGCAGATCAGCTAAATGTTGAGGTTGGAAGTCAGATCATGGAAGGATTAGAAGAGAGTGATAGCAGAAATAGTGTCACCAAGTATATGTCACTTTTTCAAGGTGTTTGGCTAAGAAGGATATAGAGAACAATTGCTGTCAGGCAAGGTAGAATCTTATGAGAATTTTTGTAAGGATTGGGAACCCTGGCAGCAAGGAAGGAAGCAGAGTGGGATTACTCTTTATTTTTCTTCCTGTGGCACTTACTATATACTGCCTTTTATTTTCTGTGTGTGTGGCTATCTGTATCTATCTTCTTAACTCCCCTGCTACATCTTAAGTGCCTTAAAGAGAGGAAGCCGTGTCTTAACTCAGCTTTGTATCCCACACAGAACCTTGCACAATGCCTTATGCGTAACAGATGCATAGTAAACATTTGTTGCTTGAATGAATAAATAAATGTTGGCTACTTAACGATTTCTGGCCTTGCCACTCACTTAATCTGACTGACTGCTTTAGGCCAGCATAGCTAAAATATGGATGGGTTTGTTCTCTGGTTATTTCCAAAATCAAAATTATTAATGAATAATTGTATATGAAGATAATCTTTATTTTGAATCCATCTTCCACCCAGCTGCCAGAGTGATTTTCTTAAAGACTTTCCTAAAGTCTGAACATGTCACCTCCCTTCCCAACTCAGTGTAGTCTAGCGGGTCCCTCTTGCCTCCAGGAGCAAATATAAAACCCTCAGTTTTGACGTTTAAAACCATCCCTCCTGTTCAGTCTTCTTGGACTTCTCCCTTCCGTGAACTGTGTGATTTAGCTCTGTTGACTTATTTGTTACACTTTGAATACAACATTCTAATCTCCCACATTTGTACCGTTTTTCCGGCCATTGTCCATGCCTGAAATGTTCTCCTTCACACCTCCACTTCTTCACTTTCCTGGCTTCCTTCAGGATTCAGTTTTAATCCCCGCTTCTGCAGGAGCTTTTCCCCAGTCCCTTCTCACCCCCCTCCCCAACTCATGCCCTCTCTTTGAGATTGATTACCTTCTGATTACACTGGATGTTTGTCTTCCCCATTACAACATTAGCTACCTGAAGACAGGGGCTTGTTTTGTTTTTTGGGGTTTTTTTTGTTAACCTTTCTTTGTATCCCTAATGCTCAGTCTAATGCCTGGCACGTGGTACGTAGCTGTCTCTTTGTCCATTGTTGGAAAATTTCCTTCTTATAGTGAATTAGAAAATGTCTCATAATGTAAGGGCAAAAATTCAAAAGAGATTTGTTCTCCATTGAAATTTTATCTACGTTACTTCCAAAAGTCTTTTTTTACCTGTTTTTTTCAGTAAGAAGAATGTTAGAGTTTTACCCTTTAAAGTTCTACCACTGACAGTATTTTGTATTTTTTTCTTCTTTTCCTCATTATAGGTTGAAAATGAGACCAACATCCTACAAGATGGCTCTCTCATTGATCTGTGTGGAGCAACCCTTCTTTGGAGAACAGCTGATGGTCTCTTTCATGCTCCAACTCAAAAGCACATTGAAGCTCTACGGCAAGAGATCAATGCTGCCCGACCACAGTGCCCTGTTGGACTGAACACATTGGCATTTCCCAGCATCAATCAGAAAGATGTGGTAGAAGAGAAGCAGCCTTGGGCATACCTCAGCTGTGGTCATGTGCATGGCTATCACAACTGGGGACACCGAAGTGATACAGAAGCCAATGAGAGGGAGTGCCCAATGTGCAGAACTGTTGGGCCCTATGTGCCTCTTTGGCTTGGCTGTGAGGCAGGATTCTATGTTGATGCTGGACCCCCGACTCATGCTTTTACCCCTTGTGGACATGTGTGTTCAGAGAAGTCTGCAAAGTACTGGTCCCTGATTCCACTGCCTCATGGCACCCACGCGTTTCACGCGGCCTGCCCTTTTTGTGCCACGCAGCTTGTTGGGGAACAAAACTTTGTAAAATTAATTTTCCAAGGTCCAGTTGACTGACGGTATCTACAATAGTATCACTTTAACAAGTTACTGTGAAGATTTTACCACTAACTGTAGATTTTACTTTTTTTTAATATGTTAAAGGGGTTGAGGGGGAGTACTAATAGAGATTGGGAAAAGTGAGGTTACAGTAGTGACAGATACCTGGCACTTGACAGAAATCAGTGATGTCGCATTGTAATGGCTGCATAGTCATCAAAGCTTATTTGATAAGTATGTTTGTTATATGTGTTTGTGATTGAATTTTAAAATGGCATATTTGATTTTAATCTTGGATTTTTTTTAACAAATTTTTTTTCCTTGTAAACTTTGACAAATCTCTAAATAATACTTTTTTCACTATTAGGAGTTTAACCAAAAGATTAATTGGTTTTATTTTTATTAAACTATTACTTTGTAGCCATCGGTATTTAAGATCCTAGAATTAGAGTTATAAGCGACCTTAGAGGTCACCTAGTCCAACGTGCTTCTTCACAGAGGAGAGAGCTGAGGCACAAAGTAAGCGTCTTGTCCAAGCCATGCAGGTGGTTAGCAACAGAGGCAAAATTGGAACTCAGGGCTGCAAGACTCCTAAAGCCTTTGACACTTTTTCCACAGTACTGTTCTGCTTGTCCTTTAAGATGTTAACTCAAGAGTTATAAACAGTGTGTGGAAATGTTTGCTAACCACAAGATAGTTATCTACTTCAGAGTGACCTGAACTAGATTAAAATGTAATTGATAAATATTTAGCAAAATAAATAAAAATGCAATGGAAAGTAGATAATACTTATGGTTTTCCAAGTCGGTGTGTGGCCTGCAGGGATTACATATGGTTTGTTGTCCCCTGTTTCTGTTGGAATTCAGCACAAATGATTTACATGAAGTTCTGAAATGAAAATGTGACGTTCAGCAATTAGCACAGAGAATTGTTTTGATATTGGAAACTTTGTGACCTATTTTTTTATCATATAAAGTTGAGAAAGAAGATTCAGGTGTTGTAATAGCTTTTTAAAATTTGGTTGTCAGAATTTAATTGCGTTATGCACATTTGTAGAATAACTTTTGACATTATAAACCATGAATTCTCCATAACTTTTGGGTTTGAATTTTACAGCCTGTCCCTGCTATGTACCTTGCATGCCTAGGACTATGTGATTAATTAAAATGTAGCATCTCTCACAATTCGTTAGGTTGGCATTATTGCAGGAGAAGAGATTGTTTGGGCACCATAATACCAAATTATGCATATATAGAATCATTTATTGAGTTTAAAAAGTGATTGCAAATTGGTTGGGGTTTTTTTTAAGCTCACTTGCATATTTTTTGGACTTGGATGTATCCAACATTCTATGAACGAAAAGCTCACCTCAGACTGTGATGAAACAGTAGATTTTGTTCACTCTACTTCACACCATCTGTCACCTTCTGTTGCAGCTTGAGGAACACTGTAAGTTTTGAAAATGTTTGCAAATCAAACTAAATTTAAATGTGATCATTAGATATACACAACACCCAATGATGCTTCTGCAGAGATAATTTGAAATGTTTGATTTTAAGCCAGCAAATAAGTGTTTACTGAGGAATAATTATATTAGAATTTCTTATGAGCTCCAGGATCCCATTCAGTTGGCTTTATTTAATTGTGAATAATAATTCTGTGATACCTCTGGTAACAAGTATAGAGACTATCAGTCTATCCAGGATGAAAATGTTCATTTGGGAGAATATTAATAGCTATCTGAAAAGAAATGAAAATCTACTGAATGAACAATATTTTAAACTATAATTTCTATTAAATTGACCATTGGAGCTTTTTATGCTACCCATGAGACCTTTGTATAGACATATAATTTATATAACTTTAATATATTGTGTGTATATATCTATAAATATATACTTGATTGGCCTGTTGATGTTTTGACTGTAAATTGTTTTATAGTTCATCTGTAAGCCTAGCATTTTTAATTCCCTTTACTCATGGGTGATGAGAGGTGTTGGTTTTGTTTGCTGCTGTTTTTAATATCTTATTATATAAAATGTCAGCTTGTCAGTTTAAAATAGCCTCACTCTTCCATACACTTTGTGGTTTGGGGTGGGGAGCTTTAGCTTCAGAACACCACAAACCTCCCATGGCATTCTTCTCAGTGATCCCTTTCTGTACATCTTGCTCATCTCTCCCTGAAGGCTAAAATCAGAATGAATTGGACATGCCTAAAATAATAGCATGAGTGCCTTTTTATTCTGCAAGAGTCTTCTGTGACCTCTGATCTGGTTCCAAGCCTCCCTCCAGCATTGTCGGTCGTTTGGGATGGACTGTGTTTGCTCAGCCCTTCACTGTTTCATGGTTTGGGGAATGAGGATAAAGGAGTTATAACTAGCCTATTTCTGGTATGTGGTTAGCAACATACATTCTTCAGCTTGTTAAACAGTCTGCAGACTAAATGATTTACTCATCTTTCAGCCAGAAGGGGCAGATTTTTCTTTTCTGAGAGAAGTTTGTCCAGAGAACCCTTAAGATTAAGATTCACTATCACTAGTCCTCAAGCTCATGAAACTCTACAGAAAGCAGTTGACTAACCTGAAAAAGGCCCTTACTCTTTTCCAAAGCTTATCTCATTAAGTATTTGTTTGAAATTTGGAGGTTTCATTCTCTAAGGATAGGGCTGGGATGTTAGGTTTACTCAACTGGGTCACTCTGCAGTCATTTTTTCCCTTGTATCCAGATATGCTACCACCTCTTGCCTTCTCCCTTTTTGGAGCTGCCCTCTACACTTAGAAACAGAATGAGGAAGTCCATAAAAAGAGAAATATTTATATGCTGAAGTACTTTACTGTCAGTGATAGAAATGCTTACCTTTATATTTTTGTTTGATATTAAATTTTCTCAATTTTTTTTTAAAGTAACTTAGTTGGTAAGTGAAAGGAAATCTTGTTGCCCACTAGCCAAAGAAGAAAATAAGCTAAGGAACAGGATCCCAGAAGCAGCTTGTGTAAATTCAGAATAGAAACATTTATTCTGTCTTCACCTGCAGTGAGAGAAGGGATAAAGATTACTGTCCAGTGTATTTTCCTGAGAGGTTATAGAAAGAGCCTCCTAGACACAGCCCTGATTCATACAGTGATTCCCTCTGATGAAGAGGATAGTATATACCATTTCAAAAGGCAGCAATAATGTGTTTCGTAGAAAACACTTTTTCTTCAGTTGTTTTTTTTTAATCAGTTTATGATTGAAAAGAGGTTAAGAGTCGATGAAGTACTAGTATTCTGAATATATTTTAAGAGATTATTTTTATGAATCTCTGCTTTCCCCTATAATGTGTACCACACCTCAGCATTTTCAATCATCGAGCATTGTTAGTGTCTATAATTTGCAAGGTACTATGCTAGATTTATAGAGGTCAGGAAAAAAATGAAACAATCCTTGTTCTCCAGGAGTTTGGGTGTCACTTTTTAAAAACAGGATTAAAGGCTCCACCAAGGATTCAATAGTGAACTTTTCATTTCTTCAACTCTGGGCCAAAAGAATCGAAATCTTTTCATTTCCTAGAGTAGCACGCATTATCATCAGTTTCAGTTCATAACTTATGGTACCACAGTGCCTATGGATAACCTCATAATAGAGTTGCTTCACGTAGAATTTCTGGAGGAAGAGAAAGGAGAAAGCCATTAAAAATGCTAGCCTTCGTTAAGGGGACTAATGAATTTGGATGCAGAAAGAGGCCTGCAGTTGGTCATTGAAATAATTACAGCAGGTTTTTTCCTCCTGCATCCTTAGAGATATATAACTTCTTGAAGTTACTTTGTACTATTATAAGGGAACCAAGGAAATTTTTTTCACTCAAAACTTAAAAGGGGGATTGGGGCAGGGGACGTTCAGGGAATGCCCATATGAATAGGGATCAGTGATTTGCTGCTAGAAGTAAATCACTGGTCTCCATTATATTGTCGTTCCTTCCAACCCAAGTTAAAGACGTGACATAGCGGGGTGATCTTTTAAAGGTCTATACCAGGGGTGGGGAATCTGGCCTCAAGGCCACAAATGGCCGTCTAGGTCCTTGGGGGTGACCTTTTGACTGAGTCCAAGTTTTACAGAACAAATTCTTTTATTAAGGGAATTTGTTCTGTGAACTTTGGATTCAGTCAAAAGGTTGTACTTGAGGACCTAGAGGGCCACATGCGGCTTTGAGGCTGCAGGGAGGCTGCAGGTTCCCCACCCATGGTACGGATTCCTGACACATGATAACAAAAGGAAACTTTTTACCTAACTTTTATTGACCAAGACTTGAACTCTCTTAAAGAAGTTTTGTATGAAGAAATTAGTATCACTAGAGGTGAGAAGGGAGAAACAATTTTCTTTCCTAGTTCTACTAAGCAAACAAAAAATTGTTGGAAGATGTCTTTATATAAAATGAAATGGCAGGAAACAAAGGAAATTAAGTGATGATGTTTGCTATGTATAGTATTACTAGCTGTTAACTGTCTGGAAATATTTGTAAAAAAAAAGTATCTTTTATAAACCATGTCAAGTTGAAAACTTTATTTCTTCACTGTTATGTACCTGTGGAAGTATAAGCCATTTTACAGGGGGAAAAAACACAAAAACTTCAAAATTATTAAACTGTTATTTCAATATGTTCATGACTCCTTATTCCCAGGCTACAGATCATTTTCATCTTGCGTATCAGTTTGCACAAAAAGTTTGTATATAAATATGCTTGATTTTTGCATTTGGCATATATCTATGTTCATCCTAAACAGTTTAAATTATTTTTTATGGCTTCTGCATAAAATGTTGAACAGATTGTTTAAGTCTGGTCTCTGAAATTTCCCTTAATTCTTCCTTATTTATTCAAATGGCACTTCATTGCCAATCAATTTCTTGTGTTATCACTGCAGAGTAACACAGACTTCTAAGAAATATAAGCTAGCTTCCCAATGTGATGGGTACTATAGGCTATGTGCACATTTCTTAGTGCTGCCCAAGTTAAGAGTCACCCATGCCTGTCTCACTCCTTTACCTTCAGCAATCCACAGAAACATAGGTTGTCAGTTAATTGACCAGTGAGGGAGTGACCATACAAGGAAACACCTGCTTCTGCCTAGTGCCTGAAACTCTCTGGAGATCTTAGGTGGCACTTTTGGACCTGAAATCTATGTAGTTTGAGAGGTACAGGCTGGAATGTGGCCAAAAATTGCCAAGATAAGAAAATCTTTCATCTCTGCTCTAAGTCCTCGCCCTGTTTTAAGGTCTTTCTTTCTCATTCGTTACCAACCAACCTCATTCCTCATCTTAGACAATTGACTTTTTAGCGTTCAGGTGCTTTGTTTGAATATAGTAACAGTGACTGAACTGCCCAAAACCCTCCATGTCCAGAGATAAGAGATTAAGAGATTGCAGGTTTAGGGAATTTGGTAGAATTGACTTAGTAAGTAAACACTTGGAGAAAACTGAGAAAGGGCTTCTAGAAATTAGCACAGAAAGAAATGCATGCCAGCCTCCCTATGGTGGTGGTTCACAGCTCTTACCTGTCTCATTCACTCTGGTCCCTGGTTTGTGCTCATTCCTGTCCCTCTTTTAGAACCTCATCCTTAGTTGCAGCTCGTTTTTCAGGTAAAGTCCCATCTTTTCCTTTGCTTTACAATAACAGCAGTGAGGGATCAGGAATGGAGTGCAGCCATATAGCCATTTTGTCCATGGAGGCTTCTAGTCTCTCAAAAGTTCTTCTGCTACCCTATGCATGGAAAAACTCTTAACTGAATTTGGGATGACCTATTCACTCTGTTCTAGTCTTTTGAGAGAAGTGTAATGGCAAACTTTCTACAGCTGAAGCCCTCACAGAGCAACCTAAGGGGTAGGGCCAAAACCCCACAGTCATACAAAATGTTACCCTGCCTCCTGACTTCTCATATGATCTCCTGCTGAACTCAAATTTATTTTAGGGTGAGTATTGGTAAAGCCAACTACCCCAAATTAATAACTTTCTTTCTGGTAGTTCTAATATTCTCTAGATGTCTCTTTAAAGTCACAATTGAATGTGGCCATCAATTTTTTTTAATAACCTCATTAGCAGGGTGCTTACATCTCAAGGCTTAAATTAGGCCTAAGAATTATAGGAAAGTGAATTATTTTACAACACTTTTTCTTTCATGGAAATGTGTTACTGAGAGATTTGGAAGCGTTCTAGGTTATTGATTATTGTGAGAAAAGGATACAAGCTTGGAAATACGAAGACCTACCCACTTGCCCTTGGATAATTGTGCAACTGAAAAAAAAATCTTTAGGAGTTAAAATATCATTGAATTTTCACTGATTTACTAACATTAAATTAGCCTCTCTATGTGTTGTTAAGTTGTTTCAGTTGTGTTTACTCTTCATGACCCCATTTGGGTTTTCTTGGCAAAGATACGAGAGTGGTTTGCCATTTCCTTCTCCAGCTCATTTTATAGATGAGGAATTGAGATAAATGAGGTTGAGTGGCTTGCCCAGGGTCACACAACCAGTAAGTGACTGAGGCCAAATTTTAATCTTCCTGACTCCAGGCCTGGCGTTGTACACTGCGCCACCTAGCTGCCCACTGAAGTACCATTTTGAATTCATGCTGTTTCTTTAGAGTTCGTGTGTTGTTTTTTTTCTTTAAAATAATCAAGCCCTCCTTCCCATTTCAATTCCTGTGTTTGGTGGAAAATGCTACTCCAAAGGAGTGATTCTATAGGTAAATCTGTAAGAAAAGGAATAAAGGAATAACCATATTGACTTCTCACCTTTCTTTTGTGCAAGTTACATCTCTGGAATATATTAGTCAATCTCCCTGTCTACAAGGGTCGTAGGTCAGTAATTTATGGAAAAAAAGCAAAAGATGATGTTACTTCAGCTCCTGGATTTACACTGAGGTTTTTGAGCATTAAAAAAGATTGAGAGGATGAAGTGAGGAGAGAGTCTGGCAGCTCTGGGTTGCTAGATGTCCTTTCCTCCCTTTGTGAGCATACTCTTGAAGTTACTGTTGGGTGTAGCTTTCTGCTGGGCCTCTGGTAGAGTCCTGAG